CTGCCTTGGACGTACCTCCGCTGGGCCTCCCAGGAACCCACGAAAATGGCGACAGTTGCGCAGATCGCAGCCCCGCAGGGGACAGGGAGGCTTCAACTTTGTCTGCGTAAAACGTACCTCCGCCTGGCCTCCCAGGAACCCGCGAACGTGGCGACAGTTGCGCAGATCGCAGCCCCGCAAGGGACAGGGAGGCTTCAAAATAATCTGCGTAGGACGTACCTCCGTTGGGCCTCCCAGGAACCCACGAAAGTGGCGACAGTTGCGCAGATCGCAACCCCGCAGGGGACAGGGACGTCAAATTGATCTGCGTAGGGCGTACCTCCGCTGGGCCTCCCAGGAACCCACGAACGTGGCGACAGTTGCGCAGATCGCAGCCCCGCACAAAACAGGGAGGCCTCAAAGTGATCTGCGTAGGACGTACCTCCGCTGGGCCTCCTTGCGCAGATCGCAGCCCCGCAGGGGACAAGGAGGCCTCAAAGTGATCTGCGTAGGACGTACCCCCGCTGGGCCTCCCAGGAATTTACGAAAGTGGCGACAGTTGCGCAGATCACAGCCCCGCATGGGACAGGCAGGCTTCAAAGTGATCTGCGTAGGACGTACCTCCGCTGGGCCTCCCAGGAACCCACGAAAGTGGCGACAATTGCGCAGATCGCAGCCCCGCAGGGGACAGGGAGGCCTCAAAGTGATCTGCGTAGGACGTACCTCCGCTGGGCCTCCCAGGAACCCACGAAAGTGGCGACAGTTGCGCAGATCGCAGCCCCGCAGGGGACAGGGAGGCCTCAAAGTGATCTGCGTAGGACGTACCTCCGCTGGGCCTCCCAGGAACCCACGAAAGTGGCGACAGTTGCGCAGATCGCAGCCCCGCAGGGGACAGGGAGGCCTCAAAGTGATCTGCGTAGGACGTACCTCCGCTGGGCCTCCCAGGAACCAACGAAAGTGGCGACAGTTGCGCAGATCGCAACCCCGCAGGGGACAGGGAGGCCTCAAAGTGATCTGCGTAGGACGTACCTCCGCTGGGCCTCCCAGGAACCCACGAAAATGGCGACAGTTGCGCAGATCGCAGCCCCGCAGGACACCGCGAACACAGGAAAGAAGAAGGAGGAGAGGGCGGGAGGTGGATATCACAGTGCTCTATTCAAAACGATTACCCAACACAAGGAGGGTTGGGAACAAACATCGTTTAAAACGAAGTGGGGTGATTCGACTGTTGAACCGACTCTTCCTCCTTCCCCTTTCCCTCGTCTCGTTGCACCGCCCCGCGAGGTCCATGATGACCTCCTCGCTCTATAGCCCCGGCGCCGCCTCGACCGTCGCCTCCGAGAGCGACGTGGCGTACAACCGTGCCATGTTGGAAAGGCGTTTGGAGAAGGCTTCTCAGGAGGAGGGCGGGCGTGCAGTGGCGGCGAGGGTGTACGACGGGGGAGGGAATGTCACCATAATCCGAGGTTGGTTTTTGGGTTTCTCATCACCCCCCCCGCGCTGGAAGAATCCACACATCTCACATCACCACAGTCATCATCACAATCATCATCATCATCATCGTCGTCATCATCATCATCATCATCATCACCATCATCATCATCATCATCAAGTTCTTTATCATCATCATGATCATCATCAACATCATAGTCATTAGTATCATCATTCACATCATCATCTCCATCATCACTATCACCGTCAGCTTCATCATCAGCATCATCATCGCCACCATCATCACCACCATCATCATCACCACCACCTACAGCATCAGCATCATCATCTTCAGCAGCATCAGCAGCAGCAGCAGCAGCAGCGCTCAGCAACATCGCCATCACCATCACCATCATCATCGCCATGACCATCACCATCACCACGCCCCCCCCGGGTAACATGCGTTATCCCCCAGAAGTAAAAAATGGTCTCTAACCGTTGTCTTTTTCGGGTATCTGAGACTGAGGCTTGAATATGGAGGAAGTCGTGAGTGAGTGGCGGGGAGGTCTCGAGCGGGAGCCCCTGACTATGGGATCCGCCCCGTATGTTTTTTGATCCGAAGGGGTTATCCAGATTTTGTAGCTGTCCTCCGTACTTGGTCCGCGACCTCTGTGTTTAACCTTGGAGGTCCATCCAAATCCCATGCGTGTCGCCACTTTGGGCTCCTGAGGCTTGACTGTGGATGAAGTCTCGAGCAGGGACCCCGTCAGTGAGTGAATTGCGGGGAAGTCTCGAGCGGGAGCTCGCGGGGTTGTCCCACCAGCTCCGTGCTTCAGCCACAATCGAGCGCGTTTCTGCTGGTCGATGCGGCGACGGTGCCGAGAAATCCGATCTCGTGTGCCCCGAGAAGGGACGGGGGGGTACTCCAAATTTTGTAATAAAAGGGAGGGGGTCTGGACCCTCCAAGACAAGCCATTTCAGACCTCCCCCGTGGGAGAACCCTCCAAAATATCGTCCCCAGACCCCCCCAGGCCCTCCAAGATAGCCTGGAAGAGACCCCCCCCCGAAATGAGACCCCCCTCCCTTTATTACGAAATCTGGAGTAAAGGAGGAGGGGGGGGAGGTAAAAGAGGGGGAGTCGGAAGGAGGCGGAGACCGGAGGACATCCGCGATCACAGGGATGACGATGAAGATTGCCCTCGGCAGGTCGAGGAGATTCTCATGCGGGGTCCGACCGTCGGAACAATTGTAATGTTGAGTTTCGGGGGATTCCTGGTTCTCCAATCTACGCGCCAGAGGGTTACGACACAATGTATGCAACTCTGGCCCGATACGTTTTGAGGGCAATTCGTGTCACTCGCCATTTTGCTTCCTACTGGTCTCACTCGGGATTGAAACCCAGATTGCATCTTAGCCTCTAGATCTTCGCCAGCGCGTGGAGTCGAACAACAGAAAAAAAACAAATCCTGGTTCTCAAATCTTCGAGGTTCCGCACGTCTGCGGTGCTCTGTGAGTCTCTTCACGGTCATTGCGCAGCTGCTGAAGCTTGTGCGACATCCTGGGACGTCGTGGTTCCTGCATAGGGGGACCCGATCAGGGAGCCGTCAGAGGAGCGACAAAGATTCAGGCGATCGCAAACATGGATCAAGGGGGCGTGGATAAGGGACGGGTCCCGTGTCCATGGGAAATCGCTGATTTCCGCCGCCGAACACCGGCCGCATTTTGGGGAGATGGATTTGGCGACCGCGTGCCAAATCCATGGATCGCCAATCCCTGTCTGCGCGCCCCCGAAAAGACTGCTGACCCCCCCAGCCGTGCCGATAGCGGCCTCTCGTCGGATCGTTTTGCGGCTGCTCCCGGGCACCTCTTCAGGCCCTTTTCGGGGGCTGCTTGGGGGGGCCTTCCGGGGGATTGGGAAACAGTGCTGCAGCGGAGACCTGCGAAGCTGTTCATTGAGGTACCCACTGGGACGAAGCTGATGCCGTAGATCGACGGGCGTCGCATACACACATTGTCCACGCAGGCGCGGCCGAGGGCCCCTGCGAGCTCGCCCTCTCGGGCCTCTCTATGGGGCCCTCCCGCGGGGCCTCCTTGGCGGTCTTGGGGGCCGCTTGGGCCGTCTTGGGGCTCTCTTAGGCTGTCTCGGGCCCTCCTGGAAGTTTCTTGGGCCGTCACGGGCCAGCCTGGGGTGGCCTCGCGGGCTGCGTTTAAGGTAGGATTTGCAGAAGCCCGAAAATGCGAGACCCTGGACATTTTCGCACCTTGAGGCCCTCTTGGGGGGTTCTCTTGGGGCCTTCTTGCGGCGTCTTGGGTGCCTCTTTTGCCGTCTGCCAGCTATCTTGGGTATTCGTGAGACCTCTCCGGAAGGCATATTGGGCGTCTTGGAGGCCACGTGTGGTGTATGTGCTAAAGGCGGCCACAGCACACCCGAATACGTCCAAAGCGTTGGTGGCAATGGAAGACGGCAGAAGAGTTGCCGATGCTCAGTCCTGTCGCCTACCTCGCTCTACCCTGTGCCTTTCCTCTCTTTCCTCTCTCGCTCGCCCACCTTCCTCCTCCTTTGAATGCGATGCACCTCCTCCTCTTGTTCCTCCGCCCCCCCCTTCTCCCCCGCAGCCATTTTGGCTCAAGCCCCGTTGCCTCAAGTCTCGCTTATCCTCGCTTGTCTGCAATTTCCGACCGTCAAGAGGGCATCGCACGGTGATCCCCATGGCGCGCGCACGTGTGGGATCGATGGATGGTGCGTTCGTGCCCAATATCATGCAGAAGGACCCAGTGGTGTGGGAAGGAGGGACGCGTGTGGAGAAGGACCTTCTGGGAGAGCGCGAGGTGCTTGTCAACGCATATTATGGTGTGCAGACTTTGCGAGCCATCGAGTGCTACAACATCACTGGCATTCGTATGGGGAACTTTGCCGAATTCATCATCGCCCTCGCGCAGGTGAAGAAGGCCTGCGCTCAGGCCAACTACAAACTGGGCCACCTGAGCCAGGATGTGGCCGACGCTATCTGCCACGCATGCGACGAGCTCATCGACCCAGACAGCACTGCCCCGGGCGAGAATCAAGGGAAGCACATGCGGAAGGACTTCCTGGTCGACATGGTGCAAGGTGGAGCTGGCACCTCCGCCAACACGAACGCCAACGAGGTCCTTGCGAACCGCGCCCTGGAGCACCTCGGCAAACAGAAGGGCCAGTGTGAGTTCTGCAGCCCAAATGACGACGTCAGCAAGATGCAGTCCACCAACGATGCATACCCCTCTGCCGCGAAGATCGTACTGATCCACATGCACGAGGATCTCGTGCAGGCGATTTCGAAGTTGAGCAGCGCTTTCTTCGAGAAGGGCCGAGACTTTGCCGACGTAGTCAAGATGGGTAGAACCCATCTCCAAGATGCCGTACCCATGACTCGGGTCAGGAGTTCAACGCTTACGGCACCACGATTCGCTACGACCTGGAGAGCGTCAACAGTGCTGCCAGCAAGTTTACCAGCACCAACCTGGGCGGCACTGCGATCGGTACAGGCATCGCAGCCGACAAGCATTTCTCGCAGGTGGTTGTCCAAGAGTTGCGGGAAGTTACGGGCTTCCCGATGGTCCTAGCAGACAATCTGATCGAGGCAAGCTCCAGCGTCAGTTGCATGCTGTTCTTCTCTGGCATCCTGAGGCGTGTGGCGGTGAAAGTTTCCAAGGTCTGCAACGATCTACGCCTGCTTGCGTCAGGACCCCGCTGTGGCCTGGGCGAGGTCAATCTGCCGCCCATGGCCCCCGGCTCTTCCATCATGCCGGGCAAAGTCAACCCAGTGATTCCAAAGGTACTGAACATGTGCTGCTTCGACACGATTGGGAGCGACATCACCGTCTGCTGCGGCGCCGAGGCTGGGCAGCTGGAGCTCAACGTGATGGAACCGGTGATCATCTACAAGCTTTTCACCTCGGTCCTTGTGCTGACCCGAGGTATGAACATCTTGCGCGGACGGTGCGTATCTGGCATTACGGCGAATCGCGAGCGCTGCCACGAGATGGTGCACAGCAGCATCGGGATCGTCACTGCTCTATTGCCCCACATCGGCTACAAGAAGTGCACAGAGGCAGCAGCTAAGGCTCTCAAGGAGAAGAGGCCTGTCGCGGATATCGTTGTGGAGTTGGGTTACCTTGACAAAGCCAAGGTAGAGGAGCACCTTCAGCTAGAGATTATGTGCGGGCCCCCAGCGAAGAAGCGGAAGACGTAAATAGTGTTATTGTTGTGCATCGGGCATGCTGGCGTCCTGTTAAGGAGGCCAGGGCCACGTGGCTCACCTGGAGAAAAGGTTCGAGACACAGGCCTTGCCCCTATTGGCCTGATGTACCTCGCTTGTTTAAAAGGCCGTCGCGATGTTGGGCGCTCGTGTGCCTCAGGGGCCAATCTCAATCAGTGGCATGTTTCGTTGATGCTCGACCCTCGTGTAGATGTTTCCCTCAGGCTGCCGCTGGAAGATCCGATCATCATCAACGACGTGAGCATCGCAATTGGCGTGCTAGTTTCTCCCCCTCCTTCCCCTACTCCCCTTGCTTCGTCCTCATCCTTCTCCTCCTCCTCCTCCTCCTCCTCATCTCCAACCCCTCTTCCTCTGCCTCCGCCTCTACCGCCCCCTCCTTCTTGAGGAGGATCACGACGAGGAGGAAGCGGAGGAAGCGGATGATGATAATGATGATGAGGAGGATGAGGATGATGATGATGCTGAAAATGATGATGAGGATGATGATGAGGAGGATGATAATGATTAGTAGGATGATTATGAGGATGAGGATGATGATGAGGGCTAGGATGATGATGACTGATGATGATGGTTTTGATGGTGATAGTGATTATGATGATGCTGCTGATGATGATGACGATGACGCTGTTGATGCTGCTGCTGATGCTGATGATGATGACGATGATGATGCTGCTGATGATGATCATGATGATGATTATGATGATGATAATGAGGATGATGATGCTGATGACGACGATGATGATGATGCTGATCATGAAACTGATGACGATGCTGATGATGACGATGATGCCGATGATGCTGATAATGATGATGCTGATGCTGATGCTGATGCTGCTGCTGATGCTGCTGATGATACTAATGATGCTGATGATGACGATGATGCTGCTGATGCTTATGATGAAGATTATGATGATGCTGATGCTGACGCTGATGCTGCTGTTGAATCTGATGCTGACGCTTGTGACGATTATGCTGCTGACGATGATGGTGATGACGATGACGATGACGGTGTCGATGCTGATGCTGATGATGCCTATGAGGATGATGATGATGTTGATGATGATGCTGATGCTGATGCTGTTGCTGATGCTGATGATGCTGATGATGATACTGATGATGAGGATGATGCTGATGCTGATGCTGATGCTGATTCTGCTGATGCACCTGATGACGATGATGATGATGCTGATGCTGATGCTGATGCTGAAGATCCTGATGCTGATGCTGATGATGATGACGTCGTTGTTGATGCTGATTATGATGTTGAATATGATGCTGTTGCTGACTCTGCTGCAGCTGATGCTGATGATGCTGATGATGATGATGCTGATGCTGATGCTGACGATGATGTTGATGATGATGTTGATGATGCTGACTAGGACGATGATGACGAGGCTGCTGCTGATGCTGATGCCGATGCAACTGATGACGATGATGATGATGCTGACGCTGATGATGCTGATAATGATTATGATGATGCTGCTGATGCTGATGATTATTATGATGATGACAACGATGATAATGACGATGCTGCTGCTGATGATGATGATGATGCTGATGATGATGATGCTGATGATGATGTTGAGGATGCTGCTGTTGATGGTCGTGATTATGATGATGCTGTAGATGCTGATGATGATGATGATGCTGATGATGATGAGGATGCTGATGCTGATGCTGGTGCTGATGTCGATGCTGATGCTGCTGCTGATGATGGTGATGCTGGCGACGCTGATGATGCTGATGATGCTGCTGATGCTGTTGTTGTTGTTGTTGTTGTTGTTGTTGTTGTTGTTGTTGTTGTTGCTGTTGTTGTTGTTGATGATGATGCTGATGATGATGATGATGATAATGACGATGATGATGTTGATAGTTATGATGCTGCTGATGATGCTGATGCTGATGCTGATGCTGATGCTGATGCTGATGCTGATGCTGATGCCGATGCTGCTGCTGATGATGATTACGATACTGATGCTGATGATGATGAGGAGGATGAGTAGGCGGAGGAGGAGGAAGAGGAGGTGGAGGAGGAGGAGGAGGAAGAGGAGGGAGAGGAGGATAAACAGTCCCGATGGCGGCGTGCCCAGTTCCCCCCACGCCTCGCACGTGCCAGGTGCGGGAGCAGCGGGGCTGGAAGTACCTCTTCTTCCGCAACCTCAGGACGCCGCTCGCCTTTGGCGCTTCGACCCCCGCCTTCGCTGGGTGGGGTGGGGTAGCGGAAGGCAGGGGGAGGTGGAGGAGGAGGAGGAGGATGAGGAGGAGGATGAGGAGGAGGAGGAGGGGAGGAGGAGGAGGAGGAGGAGGAAGAGGATGAGGAGGAGGAGGAGGAGGAGGAGGGGGGGGAGGAGGACGCGAGGGGGCGGACGTGACGGAACAGACGGGGAAAGAGCTGAAGAGGGGACGAGGGATAGTGGAAGAGTTCGACAGTGCCAAACCGAAACAGCAAGCGTGGCGCAGCGTGGATGCGGCAACGGCAGCCACCCAGGACGCATGAACAGTGTGCGTGTGTGTGTGTGTGTGTGTGCGTGTTTGGGGGTGGGGTGCGGGTTCCATTGCTGGTTTGCTTGCCGCTATTCGCCAGCGTAGCGCCAAGTGCGCAAGCACTTGAGCTGCCCTACTGCTCCTTGTTCTCCCAGCTCTTATTTCTCAAAGGCTCGAGACGTCGGCCGTGAGTAAAACAAGCGTGCACGGAGAGACTCGACAAGCCGTTTGATCAAAACTCAAGCGTGCGTGCGTTCTCGTTTGCTTGTGCTCGCGTCTGTAATCGTGGAGACAGGCAGTGGGAGTGCATCCGTATACACCCCTGTCAGAGGTGCTGGCGTCGGCATCGGGGCAGTGGCCATGTACATCATGATGTCGGTCCAGCAGAGCTGGATCTCGCAGGGGCGGGCTCCAGCCGAGGTCTCCGGGGCCGTCTCCCGAGAAGGACGACAATGATGAGGACAAGGAATGGAGTGGAGGAGGAAGGTGGATGAGGAGGAGAAGGAGGAGGAGGAGGAGGAGGAGGAGGGGGAGGAGGATGAGGAAGGAACAGCAGTGGGGGGTGAGGACGATGGGGGAGGGAAGTCAGGGGCCAGGGGGAGGGCACGGCCTGCGCGCTTGCGCCAAATCTTGCATCCTACCTCTTCGACCCATCCCCCCCTATTACGCTGGATCCTTTTCCATCCGCCGACCTGGGTGTCCTAGAGGACCTCGATCCCCCAAATAACCCCACTGTTTGATGTGCAGTCAGACATGGGGGCTTTGTGCATTGGCGGAGGGCGGTCGAGCAGGATGATGAGCATGACGAAGAGGAGGATGATGAAGAAGGAGGGCAGCGCCAGCCACCTGCTTAATTTACTTGCTTCTTCGCCTAAGTCGGCGATTCGTTTTTGTTGCATGACAGTTCTATTGCAACGATCTCCGATCTATGTCTTCGCTGCGTGAAACATCAGGAGGGGCAGGAGGACGAGGGGGAGGAGGAGGAGGAGGAGGAGGAGGAGGAGCAGAAGGAGGAGGAGGAGGCAGTGGAGGAGGAGGCGGCGGCGGAGGCGGAGGAGGAGGAGGAGGAGGAGAAGGAGGAGGAGGAGGAGGAGGAGGAGGAGGAGAAGGAGAAGGAGGAGGAGGAATGGACGGGTAACGACGAAGGACGATTCATGTCCAGGTGAATAGCCAGTTCATAGGCGAGAGCGCCACTCCTGAACGGCGGGAGCACAGCCTGTAGGTGGGCGATGCTGCAGCGTTGTGTTTCTGAAGGGCCGACACGTTCTGATCGGAAAGCGCAACATAACAAACACACGTTGAAGCCGGTGTGCGTGTGTGTGTGTGTGTGTGTGTGTGTGTGAAGCAGCACGCGGAAGAGGCGGGAGAGCAAACGCACAGTATCAGGGGAGAGAGGAGGGTAAGTCGTATCCATACAGTGTAGTGAAAGCAGGGCTTGATATTCTACGGTGAAATACAGTTCGTCTTGCAGGACCATCAAGACGCCGAGGGCACTCCACTACGTGCCAGAGGCACGGTGGTGGTTGTTTGAGGGGAGACCAGACTTCTGGAGCCTCTTGGCTGCCCCCAATCGAGCGGGATGGCTAGCCAGCTCATTGGTTCGCATGGCCAGCCGACCCAACAGATTGGACCACCAAATCAACATACTCCGGATTTCGTTATAAAGGGAGGGGGGTCTCATTTCGGGGGGGGTCTCTTCCAGGCTATCTTGGAGGGCCTGGGGGGTCTGGGGGCGATGTTCTGGAGGGTTCTCCCACGGGGGAGGTCTGAAATGGCTTGTCTTGGAGGGTCCAGACCCCCTCCCTTTTATTACGAAATCTGGAGTACCGTATGGTCACCGAATTAGCCCGAACAGATCACCATCCGATCCACACTTATCTTTCAGCCTGTGGCCGACCCCGCCGCTGTGCCAGCGCGTCAGCGTTGCATGGAGTGCGCAGTTCGAGTTTGAAACCCGCTCCAGTGGAATGCCGTGGCTGAACTGGCGCGAGTCCGTATCTTAAGCACGCTCCTCTCGTCCTCTGAGTCGTTTTTCTCCTCCCTCCTCCTTCTCAGTGAGGATCTCTGCTGGGCCGGTTGGGGAGCAAAACTGGGAGGGGGGTGGGTCGGACGATGCTGGCGGGTGGGTGGGGTGTGGGGGGGGGAGAGTCGCCCCACAAACAATTGCACAAACCGATCAGAAAAAACGATAGGCACTCGATCATGCCTCAACATGCCGAGGGCACCGTGGCGGACATGAGGAAAAGGAGGCCGGTTGTCAGCAGCAGTGATGACCTGGCAGCGGACACCAGTTGGAGCCAGATGACGTCATTTGACTGCAGTCAGTTTGACATCACTGAGTGCCAGTCGACCTGACATTGGACTGGTGTACGCTATATGCCCGATTCGATTTACAGCGGTTGAGCTTACGTATCCAACCCTCAAAAGTGCCAAGCTTTTGTTTTGATTCGACCACCTGCTTCTTCTTCTTTTTCCCCTTCTCCTCCGACCACCTGTTTCTTCTTCTTTTTCCCCTTCTCCTCCGACCTCCTCGTCCCTCCCTCCTCTCCTCCTCTCCTCTCCTCCTGTCCTCTCCTCTCCTCCTCTCCTCTCCTCCTCCCTCCCTCCTCCACCCTTTCTCCTGCGACGCAAAAATAGCTTCGATTGCGCTCACATTCGCTCGAAAGCTGCCCGCGTAAGGTCGCGCGTCAGCGCCCTCGTTTCCAATGCAGCGTGCCGCGCTGGCGGCCCGCGTGAGCCATCGCATAATGCCGCTACGCCATCTTGCGTAAGACCCGTGTCTTTTCGTCTTTCTCGTAAAATGAGCTCCAACCGCAAGGAGGGCTAGACCTTTGCTGTGGACGGTGGGTGGTGGGGAGGCCGCCGGGGAGATGCTCCCACGCCCTCGAAGGCTGGCGGAAGACTGGCGGAAGACTGGCGGAAGGCTGTCGCTAGGTGGCTGAAGGAAGAGCGAGACGTCGCATTTTTTGGATACGTGGGCTCCCTAGAAGGGGCAAGCTCTCCTCCTGTGGGAGGTCGACGGCCTGGGCGTCTACCCGGCCGTCGCCGCACCCAAGAGCGTCCCCGACGAGTGCCACAGGGAATGGCGGAAGCCACGCCGTGCTGCTTGCCGATCGGGGTCGTCGACATCGCAGGGGGAGGGGCAGAGAGCGAACAGTGTGAGGAGGGGGAGGAGTAGAGGGAGGGAGGAGGGGGAGGAGGAGGGAGAAGCGGGGGACTGTTGCAGGGCCGCTATTCTTTTACAGCCAACGCTTCCGGCCCTGTCCTTGAGTCAGCGCAACGGGGCGGAGGAGGGGGAGTCCCCCTCCACGCGTGGTCGAGCACCGGTCTGGGAACGCCGCGCGTGCCGCCTGCCGCACGATTTCTGTGGCCTGCTCCCAGACGTCGGTGCCCTGCCCTGCCTCGCCCCTCGCCGCTCGCCGCTGGGCTGCCTGCCTCCACACGGCCCGACCATCCGATGCCTCGCCAGCACCACCATCACCATGCTGCTGCCGCCGCACCGCCGCTCCACCCGCCGCCCGCCCCCCCCCCCCCGACCCGCACGGAGGCTGGTCGCAGCTGTCGTCACCCGCCGTCGCGTCGTCCTCCCCCCCCCCCAGGGGCCGCTGGGGGGTATAGTCACCCCGCCCCTCTCGACGGTCCACCCTGTGTCTCACTTGCTCTTTCTGCGTTTCTTCTGCAGCTGCCTCGTAACGCCCCATCCGGAAGGCAGAAGCCAACTTGATCGGAGTTGTTCTAGTTGGAATGTTGTGATGTCTGCTGCTTTCCTTCTCGCGTCCCCCCCCCATCCTCTTCCCTACTTCTTTCGTCCCGCCCGCTTCCTCCTTCTGCTATGTTACTTGTGCTTATGTGTTCCTCCTCATCCTCCTTCTCGTCCTCGTAGTCTTCTGCATGCCCCTGCTCCTGCTCCTGATCCCTTGATCCTTCTCCTTGGCCCCCTTCTCCTCATCCTCCTGTCTCATCCTCCGTCTCCTCCTACTCCTCCTCGTCCTCCTCTTTCCTCATCCTCCTCCTGCTTCTCCTCAACTCCGGCACCTCCCCCTTCCCTCCTCAGCCGCAGCCCTTCCTTCCTCAGCCGTAGCCCTCCGGCCTCACGTCCAGTCGTGGACGGGTCTGAGCACGCGACCTCCGAGCGCCTCCGAGCGCCACGGCTCGCGAGCGCCCCGAGCACCCCGCTCCGCTCCCCGGCTCCGCTCCCCTGCGCCCCTGCTCCGCGGGGCGCTGGTGGTGACGGAGGGCAGGCGGCGGGGGCTGGGCCGGTTGGCGTGGTGGCGGGTTGGGCTGGGCTGCTCGGCGGGTTTGCGGGCGGGCTGGTTGGGCTGGTCGGGCTTGCTGGTGTGCTGGCCAGGGCCACTGCCTTCGGCGGTGGCTGGGGGCCCTTGGAGCGATTCGGCCCCCCTCGGCTGTCAGCCTGGTCCCTGGGAGGCGGTTCCTGGCCGCTTTCGCGGGGTAGGAACCACTTCCCGCTCCCTCGGTGGTGACGGAGGGCAGGCGGCGCTGGTCGGCGGGTGTGAGGGTGGGCTGGTTGGGCTGCTTGGCGGGTTTGCGGGCGGGCTGGTTGGGCTGGCTTGTGTGCAGGCTGGTGCAATCGGCTTCGATCTTAGTTTGATCATTTCCCCCCAGCGGCAGAAGCCACTGCGGGGGGAGGAATGCAGCGTCCAGCTGTGGATCCTAATGCCAGCAGCGTCAGCATCAGGAGGGGGAGGATGTGGTGGGGGAGGAGGATGGTGATGATGACGAGGAGGAGGAGGAAGAAAACGGACAAACATAATATTAAGACAACGGATGCTACTAATAAGACTAATAATACGAATACCACTAACATTATGGTTAATAACATTACTTCGAATATACTAGGAAGCATACAAACACTGCTGGGAATCGTAGTAGTACTACTAACCATGAACATGCTAGCACTGATCACATCATTCTAGCAACGCTAATAACAACAATTCGAGTAATAGTATTAACACTAAGAGTAACCATAGGAATGACAATACTATTGAGAGCAACAAGAGTACTGATAGCCATACGAACAGTACTAGTCATTTGAAGAAGACGCAGGAGGAATACCGCGACACACAATAACAGCGATACACATAATAATAGCAATTCTAACAATAATCAAAGCTATATTCATCATACGGATCATGATAATAAGGATACGGCTGTTATACCTAACCATACGAGTACTAATACTTTTTAAATATGAAATTAATGCTAGGACTAATATATATATATATATATATATATAGATGGATAATACTCAGCAGAGTAATATTACTGATGAGAGGAGGAGGAGGAGGAGGAGGAGGAGGAGGAGGAGGAGGAGGAGGAGGAGGAGGAGGAGGAGGAGGAGGAGGAGGAGGAGGAGGAGGAGGGAGGAGGAGGAGGAGGAGGAGGAGGAGGTTCTGGCTGCCCTGGAGCAGAGCAGTGCCCCTCGAGAGCCACAGCCTGGCACGCTAGGGTTGCTGAGTGCCCCCCGGTCCTCGCCGTCAAGCGCCCCTCCCCCTCCCCTCCTAACCGTGGTAGTTATGATGGTACGGAGGCCAACCAGGCCGAGGAGGTGGGATACCAGGAGCCAGGAGGACGGCGAGAACGAGAGAGTGGGCAAGGGCGGGGAGGCAAGGACCCACCTCCCTCTCGCCAAGCTGCACATTGCTGGTGGGTGGATGCATGATTCACATCGGCTTCAGTTTCACAGTCAGCTCCGTCTTTGGATTTGCTATGCTGTGCTGTGGCTGCTATGTTTTTCCATAGTCACATAGGCTGTGGCTGGTATGCTAGTAAGCAATTGCGTGAGTTGGGCAAGGTTTGTGCACCCACGATCACGCCCTCCAGGGCGGAACATTTTGAAATGAAAGGATTTCTAGAGGCCTGTTGCCTAAGGTCTTGAGTGTCGATGAGAAGCGTATTCCTGGCAATTCAGTGCTACTCGCACGCTGTAGAAGGGCTAATTTAGTTCAACTGCAGCGTATTGAAGTCATACTCTTCCTCATACGCCCCCCTCCACTCCCCTTCTTCTTCCGCCATCAAGGCCCGAACCGTAGCCGCAGCCATCTTGTCCCGCTCTTGGCAGGGTGTGCCGGCTCGGGCCCATGCGCGCCGGCCGCCTCGACTCGCCCCTGGCGCGGCTGTCAGGCGAGCTGCGGGCCAGCCGCGTGCCCACGAGATGTTCCGGACGGCGCCGTCGCAGCTGCCGTCTGAGGCCAGACCTCTTGAGCCGCGGCGCGGAGGCTCGGCGATGCTGCTCGTGTACACCGTCCGCCTCGCATGGCCGACGTTTCGGCTCTAGCGGATGCCGCTGCTGCTCATCGGCTTGCTGGTCCACAATATGATCATCGGGATGCCGAGCCCGTGCCAGTGCAGGAACAGGCCGCTGCTGCCGACGACGCTCCTGCCCACGGCGATGCTGCTAGGGCTGCTGGCGCCGCTCCGACATGGTGTCCTATCATCTCGTTCTCACCATCTTCGTCGTGGCCGCCTTCGGCGCTTTCTTGGACTGCACCGGCGAGCGTGGTCATTCTGCTCAAGGAGCTCGGCGCTGGGATACCGCACGTGGAAGTGCTGGGCGCCCGCAGGGATCCCGGGCGCCCCGCTTGCGCCTCACCGTGGGCCGACGTCGACAACGTAAAGGTCGAGAGCGTGGAGGCCAGTGCGCAGCCGTCGAGCTTCGTGCCCCGCGCCCGCCTCCGGAGTGCGGCTGCGGCCGCGGTCCGTGCTGCTAGGTTGCGGCGCGCCGAGGGCGACGGTGTCAAAACAGACCGTATCTGTTACGGTCCTGAGTGCGGCGGCGCTGGCACCTGGACGGCTGACAGCCGCGGCGCGCTGGCCGCCGCGTCTCCGGCAGAGCCTCGGGCACGGGCCCCCGTTGCTGATGCCGCGCCGCAGCCCGAGGGTGAGCCGCGTGTGCCAGAGGCCGCGGAGGCCGAGCGCCAGGTGGCAGTTGAGGCACAGGCCGCCGCCGTTGTCGTGTCCTTCGATGCCACGTGCCAGGCGACGGCATGCTGGGCCCTGTGGCCCAGACGCTGCGCCGCCGTTGCGCGCCAGCAGGCCGAGGCCAAGGGTGATCGCCAGGCAGCGGCCGAGCTCCAGGCCGCCGAGCGCCAGGCCGCAGAGCGCCAGGCGGAGTCCGAGCGGCTCGCGGAGGCAGCGCCGGACGTGCAGGCTCAGGCGACTCCTGCTGCCGAGACGGCCCTGGTGCTGCCGTCAGCCGTACTTCGACCAGAAGCTCTTGCACCGCCGACGGCGATTCCGCAGCTGCCGCGTGAGCAGCCCGGGCCGTCGGCGATGAAGAGGGTGCAGCGATCGGCGCCTGTCGACATGGGCCTTCAGGATGCAGGAGGTCCACTCGTGATAGCGGGCAGGCTGGCGGCAGCAGGGGTGCATCTCCCCATGTGGGGAGCGGGGCCCCGCCCTTCGCAGCTTCTGGCGGCGCGTGGCACAGGAGCGCGCTGCCGCCGCTGGGGCCGCATCGATGCCAGGCAAGACCCAGGAAATGCCAGCCGAGCTGCTCCAGCGCGTGGCCGTCGCGACGCCCCGAGCTGCTCCAAGGCGATGCCGCCGAGGCGCGCGCCGAGCTGCTCCAGAGCGAGGCGATTGAATCGTAGCCGCCACTGGAGTGCAGTGGTAGAAGGTTCGCACACGGAGGGCTGTGCGAGGAGAGAAAGAGGAAGGAGGCCGCGTCGCAGTATAACGAGCTAGTATCTCCCTTCCTCGTCTAGCTTGAAGTTCATCGCCTGTTTTGCCTCCGCCGCCTTCGGTCGTCCGCGTCGCGAGGGTGCGAAGATCCTTCCTTCTGTCGCTGAGGTACGACTCTTCGCTATTGTGTAATTTGCGATGATCCATCCGTGTTCGCATGAGTCCTGGAGCTCGCAGTTATTCTTCGTTCGCGCTCTGCAGTCACGAGCCGGTTTGCGGTGCGAATGCGTGATATGCCAGCCCGACGAGTTTTTCAGCATTGTAGTTCAGCGACGCCGACAAAGGAGGAGCGCTTTTGAGGAGGAGGTTGGTCGGGTGTCGGGAGTATGATTCTCCATCCCTGCCCCTCCTCCCCCCGCGAGCGACATGTGTGCACAGTCTTAACATGTTGTCAGTTGCCAAGTTTGGCAGCAGCGATCCTCCCCAATTCCTGCCTGGGCGCTCTGGTAACTCCGCGTTGTGTTGCCCTCGTCGGTCGTGACTCGTGATGAGCGTGGGTGCGAAGATCGATCTTCTTTCTTCGCCGCCGTCCGACCCGCCGGCCGCACATATCCTGGCAACGTTTTCCGTGTGGTAATTCCCATTGTGGTGCCTCCACGCGGCCTCATTGTATCGCTGAGCTGCATACGAATGTTGTCTGGGTCCCAGCACTGCTCCTTTCGCCTCGGCTTTATCCCTTGCCTCTCTCTAGCATTTCCCGTCCCCCCTCCCTCTCGAGCGGCCGACTGCCCACGACACAGTAGTGGTTTTTGTGTCGACGCTATGTCAGCCCAGCCGCTTCATGTGTCAGGGGGGTTTGGATGGATGGTTTGTGGAGGGGCTGCTGGATTTAGCCGGTGCCACGAGAACAGGAGGTTTTCCGTCTGCGTCCCAGCCTTTTCCCTCCCTCTCGTGAGCTTTTGTTGTTTCCCTCCGTCCCTCTCCCGCGCCTCCTGAGTGCTTTGGACGGGCACACAAAGCAATTTGTTGTCGCGTTCACCGTTTGCCGTCCAGTTGCCCATTATGGAGGATGGGGGTGTATGTGAGGATTGGGATGGTCTGGAATCCTTGTTTCGGTTCGACGCGTTCCGTCCGCTCTGTCGTGGGGGGTCCCTTCTTGGTACCCGTGCAGATAGACGATTTCAAAATAAAGCGTGAACCGATGTTGTTATATTTTGCTAGTTGCAGCGCCCCATTTGCTGATAGGCGTTGTTTTCATCAGCGTCGCACTTCAGAAAATCATCCGCCATCCAAAATATTTAGCATGGAGACTGCTCTCCTCCATCTCCTGCTGCTGTCTTCATTTCCGGCCGCCCATCCCCAGCCCATTCCGCGCGTTTTTTGTTTTACACACAAGATGGTTTCGAGTTGGTTGCCGTTTTTTCATATAAAAACGTCCTCGGCCGTCTTCCACAAGCTGGGGCTGCCGCTGCAGCGCTGGCCGGATTTCGTGATCGGCGCTGTGCTCTCTTCGTTCAGAATGGCGCTCGCGCCCCCCGCACGGGCCACACTTCTGGATTCGATTCTCTCCTCGTTTTGCACCCCCCCGTCGTTTCCTGTCCTCCGCCTTCCCCCTGGGTCTTCCTGGTGCTCCTGGTCCTCCTGCTCCTGCTGTTCTCCTCCTCCTCCTCCTCCTCCTCCTGCTCATCCTCCTGCTCATTGGCTCTTTTCTCCTTTTCGTCGTCCAATGTGCACCGATCCCCTGTATGATAGCGCATCACACGATGGAGCGGAATCACTTTGGGGATCCAAGTCCGCTGAGACACCCGTCGGCGGGTAGAGAACAAGTCAGCGCAACGGAAAGGGATGTGTGGGAAGGTTAGGATGTCCGATATGGCGCGAAGGCGCCAAACTCCAAACTTGTCCTTGTCTCCACTCCCAGATCTTCTAGTTTCATTGCGTGGCCCAGCTTTCAGTATCGCTCTCTCCCGGTGGTTTTCCCTCCCACCCGACATTGCTACTCTATGCTCCAGCAGTTCTTCTCGGAGTTCCAATCGGTTTCGGGGCTCGGTCTCGACTTCTCAGAAAGTCAGCTGGTGCCGATGGATCCTCTGCCACAAGAGCTCGCGCGGGCGCTGCGGGAACGGGTTGTGTCCGAGGCCCCGGGAAGGGCAATGGTGCAAATCCAAGAGGCAGATCAGTACCTCGGCCTTTACGTGGGCCCCGGGCGGGGTCGCGCTTCCTGGACCGCGCCGCTGCGAAGGTGCAGCGAGCGGGCCACTCTCTGGGGGCGTCTGGGCTTCGGTTTGCTGTTGACCTTGCAGGCCTTCCTAGTGTATATTTCTTCTGTCCTTCTGCTTGTGGGCCGTTTGGAGGACCCTCCGCCGCAACTCCCGCAAGAGGAAACCTGCGCCCCCAAGAAGATGGTATTCGGCCCTAAGGATTGGATCGCGCATACCGCGCTCATGCACTCAAGACCTTGGGTTTCAGTGATCAGCGGATGGACCTCCCTTCAATTCCCACGGCCTCCAAAGCCCGCGTGGTTGAGTGGGAAGCAGGGGGCCGTCTGCGCATTCGCCAGAGGGCGCGGCCCATTCAGCAGCTGTCTTGCGGGAGCACAGGTATCGGTTCACAGGCACTGCTGGCTGCACGCGAGGAAGGAAAACTGATTTTTCCTCAGCCTGGGCAGGGCTGCGGAACGCGTCAGGGTTCATCGACGCGCCAACCCAGACGCAGAAGAGTGACACCGCAACGAGGGTTGGCAGAAATATGCCATAGAGCTGGCTGGTTTATGGCTCGGTGCGTGCGGACGCTTGGATGCAATTGCAGAAGAAGCTCATACATTGGCCATTGACATGTCTCCGGTCACAGACTGACACCGACGCTCCGCAACTTGAAGCTGGTTGGGCGTCGCTGCCAGCCGCGGGTGTGGGCCGCAGTCTTTCGTCTTCAACGCAACGGCTAGTGCACGCACTCGTGGTGTGGCAGAGCCAGCCCCTGTTGATTCTGCAACGCCGTGTCAGACAGCATCCGGCATTTCGCTTACTGCCCTGTTGTCCGCACGTTACAGTTCGAATTCTGGACATCCCTGGACCGCGCCCGGGCCTGGAACTCGACGTTCTCATGGGATTGGACGGGCACCGGCCTGGCGTGCGCGCCGTGGTCGACAGGGCCGTGTCCGTGCGTGCTTTGTGCCGTGTCCAAAACTGCCAGCGCCACGGCAGACTCACGCTGCAGGGCGTCGTTGGAGCTTTCGACGGCTGCGTTCGGGAGGCCCGCGGGCGATCAGCTGACAAACTAGGCCAAGTACGCTCGTTGTCCCGCTTGTGTTGAACTAGGCCGCAACAGCCAGCTTCGAGTGCGCGGACAGAGTTTCTCCTCCTCTTCCTCTTCCCCTCTTCCTCCTCCTCCTCTTTCTCCTCCTCCCCTCCTCCTGCTCCTCCTCTTCCCCAATTGCTCAATATGAATACTACTCTCCCTCTTCCCCTGATGACGTGGTGGGAGTGTTCGCCCCCCCCCCCCGTCCTGTTTTTTTACGCAGGTTTCCCGGGAGTTGGGTTTTCGCTTGCATTTTTTTCAAAGTGCTGCTCTCGCTGAGGCGCCGGCCTCATTTTCGGGCCCCGCTCGTTCCGAATCGTGCTCCCGCTGCAGCGCTGGCCTCATTTCCGCGCTTCCGCTCGTTCCGACTCGTGCTCCCGCTGCAGCGCTGGCTTCATTTCCGCGCTTCCGCTTGTTTCGACTCGTGCTCCCGCTGCAGCGCTGGCGTCATTTCCCATGCCATGCCACGGCGTGCAATGCAATGCTAGATTGATACAACGCTTTGCGGTGCTCTTCTACGCCATGCCATGCCGTGCTCTACAATGCATCGCGTACCCTTTCGGGATCCTTGCCCTGCTCGACATCCGACTGTGCGAGTAGAAAAGGGGATCCGCGCCATGGTAAGGGATGGGAGGGAGGGGTAAGATGTCAGATATGACGCGAGCGCACCTAGCTTGTCCCCCCCCTCCCCCTATCACTCTGCATGTTTGCGCGTGACCCAAAAACTCCAGTGGCTTCGCCGCCCTGTGACGCAGCGGAGGTATCCTACTGGGTAGGCGATCCGCGCTTCTTCGCACCTCTTTCAATAACGCTTTACGTTCGCCGGCAGGTCCTTGCCTCCCATCGTCTGCTGCTGCGCGTTGCTTGCCGTTGGCTCCCTTCTTCCTCCGCCTTCCCTTCCTTTGTGCTTTGCTGCTTCCTCTCTCGTTCGCTTTCCTGCTCTTTTCCCGCTGCTTGCTTTCCTCGGTTTGTTTTTGCTGCTGTTGTCCGCCGGATGTGTTTTTGTTGTTGCGCCAGAGCCGTTGAAACGTGCAAGATGGGTGCGAGGATCTGCGGCAGTCCATCTCCGTGTTTCGACGCGGTGCGTCCTGGGAACCGAGATTTTGTATCGAACCGCGCACTGTTCGCCTGCGTTGCAGCATGGCCATTGCGCTGAGTAGTGATTGGTGGGTGGTTGTTCATCAAAAAATCATACCCCATGTCGGTGCCGTTCACACATTCGCGTCTCGTCTCCCAGCTGAACTCCTGTCCTTCTCTCTCGGTGTCTCTTTCTCTCTCTTTTCCTCTGTCTCTCTCTCTCTCTTTCTCGTTTATTCCCAACCATCCTGTGGTGTTGGGTCCTCGTTTTGAACAGACAACGCCCCGCGTCTCCTCTCCTCTCCTCCTCGCCCCCCTCCTCCCTCCTTCCCTTCTTTGCTTCTGCCCCCCGCATGGTTCCGTGTCGGCATACCCAGTACGACGTTTCGTGGCCCCAAAGGCAGCTCCACCGAAGGCCCCAGTGGCAGGGATCGCATGGCGCCACTGCGCCCATTTCGGGACCCCATTCACACGTTTCGTGGCCCCACAAAGAGGGCTCCACCGAAGGCCCCAGTGGCAGGGTTCGCATGGCGCCACCGCGCCCATTTCGGCACACCCCTCACACGTTTCGTGGCCCCACAAAGAGGGGCTCCACCGAAGGCCCCGATGGCAATATTCGCATGGCGCCACCGCACCCATTTCGGCACACCCCTCACACGTTTCGTGGCCCCACAAAGAGGGGCTCCACCGAAGGCCCCAGTGGCAATACTCGCATGGCGCCACCGCGCCCATTTCGGCACACCCCTCACACGTTCCGTGGCCCCACAAAGAGGGGCTCCACCGAAGGCCCCACCCAGTGGCACTATTTAGCATGGCGCCGCCGCGCCCATGTCGGCACAGCGCTTGCGCGTTGCGTGGTCCCGTAGGGGAGGTCGGCCGAAGGCCCCAGCGGCAGGGTTCGCAGGGCGCCACCGCACCCATTTTGGCACACCCCTCACACGTCCCGTGGCCCCATGGGGAGCTCCACCGAAGGCCCAAATTCAGGAACAAAACGACCACGTAAACATAATAGCAGCACCCTTTCGGCGCAATTCCGCGAGAAACGGCTGAGACCGGTTCGCAACAGACATAAGTAGGCCAATGCTCGCACCAGTTCGGCCGTGATGCCGCAGTTCCCCCAAGTGCGCAAATGGCCTGTACAGGGCGAGCAGTTGCTGCTGTAGCTACCCTGCGTCATTGCCGCGCCAAAAATCAAGCACCAACCTATCCGCGATGGTGTTTTGAGGTGTGCGGAGCAGGGTTCTTGGTTTCTTTTATGTCATTGGGTGTCCTGGGGTGACATAAAACTTTTGATTGACATAAAACACAGAGCACGTGGGATTTATATAAAACTCCAAATCGCGCTGCCGCTCGAACTGTCCGAATGAC